ATTCACTACACATTGTTTTGTGTTCACTAGTGCTTATACAGCACTTTGAAAACCTTGTTTTTAAAAGTGCTTCATAAATAAAGCTTTATTATTATTATTATAGGCTTGTCTCAGTGGAGATGTTATTGCTTCATCAGGAATGTTTCACAGTATGGCATTAAACCTTTCTTCATGGAGACCAAACCAGACCAAGTTACAGGTCAGATCTGTGGGGAGGCGACCCCGCTCACAGTCAGAATGTTTGTTTTTCTAAGTATTTTTAAACTATAAAACCACCTGTATTTGAATAAATGTAAGGTAGAGCTGTTTAATGTCATACTGTGGAACATTCCAGGCAGAGCAATGATAAATTCATAGAAACAAGCAGGTGACAGACCCCCAACCAAAAAGTTACACAGTGCAGCTTTAGTATAATAGTATATTTAACATGCATGACGTACTGCAGCACCACTGTAGCTCTATGACAGTTCCTCATATAAATAGCATGGATACAGTAGGTCCAGGCGTGTCTCTCATCTCTCTTTGGTTGGACACATGAGCGTCTCCGGGGAGGAGGCTGTTAGCTGATGCTGAGTCAGAGCACTGAAACTACAGCACCAAGGTCAGCTACAGCAATATATGGACTTTACTGTGGCACAGAGACCAGCACACAGCAGCTACAAGACACAAGACACTCAGGAATCTCTGTAATGCTATTCCTTTCTGGGTTATTAACATGAGGTATTTTTCTTTTGCGTTTTACACTGATAATTATGTGATCAGCAAAGGGACGAGGTACACAAAACAGTACTATGATCAGAATTTACAGTAAAACATGGAAAATATGTAACGCTTTATAATAATTTCGCCTTTAAAGTGCCCATATTACACTGTTTTCTGATCTGTTAAAATATTGTTTCCTCTTCACAAACATATCTGGAGTTGTGTTTCGTTTCATTCACACGTGCATATTTAGGCTGAGTTCTTCTCTTAAACAGAAAACGCTCTGTTCCACCTTGTGATGTCATGCTGCACTCCACTGTGTTTTTAAACTCCATACATCTTCACTACAATCATTTGGATAATTTCAGCCCTGGAATTGCCAATCTCTGAACAAAAGGTAAACAATAGCTGTTAATTTGAAAACTACCGCTTCAAGTGTTTTGAGCTTTGGAGATATTGACAGACTAATAATAAAGGATTACTCAAACGTGTGAATGAAACAAAACACAACTTCAGGAATGTTTTTGAGGAGGTAACAACGATTTAGTGACTTGCAACTCACAAGAATAAATTTTGCATAATATAGGAGCCTTAACATGAGGTATTTTTCTTTTGCCTTGGATACTGCTTAGAGTGTAAGGGAGGAAAGTACTATGACTTCAGAAAATACAGCAAAACTAATGGAAAGTAGGTAACATTTTCAGTCCTGAGATCAGTCCTGGGATCAGTCCTGGTATAGTCCTAGTTTATTCCTGGTTTATTCCTGGTTTAGTCCTGGTTTAGTCCTGGTTTAGTCCTGGTTTAGTCCTGGTTCAGTCTTAGTTTAGTCCTGGTTTGGTCTTGGTTTAGTCTTGGTTTAGTCCTGGTTTAGTCCTGGTTTATTCCTGGTTTTGTCCTGGTTTAGTCTTGGTTTATTCCTGGTTTATTCCTGGTTTAATCCTGGTTTAATCCTGGTTTAGTCTTGGTTTAGTCCTGGTTTAGTCTGGTTTATTCTTGGTTTAGTCCTGGTTTAGTCTAGTTATTCCTGGTTTTATTCCTGGTTTATTCTGGTTTAGGCCTGGTTTAGTCTTTTTAGTCCTGGTTTGGTCTTGGTTTAGTCTTGGTTTAGTCCTGGTTTATTCCTGGTTTATTCCTGGTTTAGTCCTGGTTTAATCCTGGTTTATTCTTGGTTTAGTCCTGGTTTATTCTTGGTTTAGTCCTGGTTTATTCTTGGTTTAGTCCTGGTTTAGTCCTGGTTTAGTCCTGGTTTAGTCCCGGTTCAGTCCGTATGCGTTGCTATAGTCCAGCATATCAATCGATGTTTTTTCTGCTCAATAAATAATGACTGTGAAGTGACTGACGTATTTTTGACAGTCGAGTCTCGTCTGTGAATTCGTATTTGTACTGAAGAAAGCATAATCCTAAATTTTCATTCTATGATTGTAATTCTTGATACGTAACTTTTCAATTCATATTCTGATGGGATAAAATACACACAATATATTTATGTACGACTGGACTCATTCGCTGGTTTACAAATATTTATTTTATGCTCAACTACAGCCAAATATGCACGGATTTGAATAGTTCTGAAAGCTTTCTTACCCCATAGAGTAACACATTATTATTACTCTGTCTTTATCTCCAAAGCTCAAAACGCTCTGTTCCACCTTGTGATGTCATGTAGTGGAAGTTTTCAGTTCTCCTTTTACCTTTAGTTCAGTAAAAATTGGCAATTCCAGCTCAGGTAAAGGTGTGTAGCGTTTAAAAACACAGTTAAAACAAATTAAAGGACAGGTACAGACCCTTTTAAGTTAAATATTTTATACCAGATGCCCTTCCAAACCCAATTATACAGATTTGTTTTTCCAGTTCCACTCAGAAAACTAGACAGTAAACACAGTCTTAGCCTTGGTTAATGAATTCAGTATTTTTTCCTCTTTAATTTTTGCATACACACAAAACCATTATGTCTCCTAAACATTATGAATAAAATAATCATTGCCCTCCTAATGAACCGCGTATCTTCATATAAGCAGTATGCTAGTCTCATCAGTGACATTAGGGTTCTGTGCTATGCTAGCAGTTATGAATGTTAATGTATAATTGATGGCGTTCGTTAAGCTGTGTCACAGTGGGGGGGTTATGTTTTATTCACTGCACTTGTGTGTGGCCACTTGCTGCTGTTTGTTATGAACGCTAAATTAAAAACAGCATAGATAGGGAGAAATATATGAGCTGGAGGCAAGAACGGAGGAGACTGTGGGAGCCAAGGAAAGCTTTTGTGGATAATCAGAAATACTGAAAGAATGGCTAAGCGAGGACAATAACAATCAACGTATGTGTGGTCTCAAAACACAGCTTCACACTTGTGCTCAAAATTGTGACTAAAATGCAACAAATTAAAATTAAATTGAAACTAATCCAAGGCTAGACCAGGACTGAAAAAGGACAAGAACAGGCAGTGTTGGGAAGTTTACTTTTAAAATGTATTCCCCTACAGATTACAGATTACACACACCAAAATGTAGTTTGTAACGGAATCCATTAAATTACTTAAAGTGAGTAACGTAATCTGAATGCTTTAGATTACTTGATTTGCTGTAGAGAAGCAAAGACAAGGAAATCTTCACAAGATGTTTTGTCTGATAAAAGAAAATGAAAAGGCAGTGTCTTTACTTAACCGTATTAAAAATGTTAGAATGATAAAATGATAGAAGACGAGGAGACACGGTCCGCGCAGCATGATTTAGTCCTTTTAAATCCTGTTTTAGACATGGTTTAGAATTGGTTTAGTCCTTGTCTAGACCTGGTTTTAGTCCTGCTTTAGTCCTGGTTTGTCCTGGTTTAGACCTAGTTTAGACCTAGTTTAGACCTAGTTTAGACCTAGTTTAGTCCTAGTTTAGACCTGGTTTAGACCTAGTTTAGACCTAGTTTAGACCTAGTTTAGACCTGGTTTAGTGTCCGGCAATGAGTGGAATTACCGAGGGAAAAAAAAAAGAAAAGGGATATAGCCCCAAATGTGAAAACAGGAAAATACCGTCGTGTAATCCATTTATTTCAACAAAGTAACTGTAATCCAATTACCACTCACTGAAACAGTAACTGTAACTGAATACAGTTACTCATAATTTGTACTCTGATTACGTAACTCCGGTACATGTAATCTGTTACTCCCCAACACTGAGAACAGGACCAAACCAGATTTATCAGTTTTAAACGTAGCTCAAATCAAGGACAAGTGTGAACATGTTCCACGTTAGATACTTGTGGTTAAATATCCGCTCATTTGTATGCAGAGCAGAATATACATTTAGTATGTGACCGCTCATCAGAGGTGGGGACTAGAAAGTCATCGCTTGGACTTGAGTCAGACTTGAGTCACTATTTTTAGGACTTTTGAGACGTGAACTTGATAAAATGGTCTAAGACTTTGGACTTGAAGGTCAGTGACTCGGGATTTGACTCAGACTTGAGGCCTATGACTTGAGAAGACTTGAAGCATCTCCTAAATATATATATATATATGTTTTTAGAAAAGACTTTTCTCTTCACAGTTGATAAATGTGGTGCTTAATTTTACAGGAACAAAGTGAAACATGTCCATCTCACTGTTTTTTTTGTTTGTTTGTTTTTTATTTTGGATGTAACTGTGAGATGGTACCTCAAATGTACTACAGTAATATACAGTACAATATTAAGCTATTAAGATAATGCTATTAAGCACTTTTAAATCTTAATAAAAAGGGGAAAATAGGATTTCTACAATTTATATAAATACTCATATATAAATATATCAGGGTTTTTTTAAAGTACAATTTAGCTTAAAATTCATAAAAATTGCAAAAATCTAAGCTATATTTGGTACTTTGGTTTAAAGACTTGAAATGACTTGAAGCTCAAACCAGACGACTAGGACTTGACTTGGAATTATGGGCCAGTGATTTGAGACTCGACTTAGACTTGCCTGTCTTTGACTTGACTCGGACTTGAGGTCAAAGTCTTGAGACTTACTTGACACTTGCAAAACAACGACTTGGTCCCACCTCTGTTGCTCATACACCACAATTAAGACTAATCCCAGAATTAAACCTGGACTAGATCAGGACTAAGGACCAGAACAGGATCAAACTACATAATAAAAGGAGCTCCAGTCAAGTGTAACAACATGCAGTAAGAAATTTTCAGTTGTAAAAATGTAGCTGGAGCATTTCAATCAACTTCAACTACAAAAATCCTCTTAAACATCATTAGAAAAAAGTGTGTGACCAGTAGAGGGAGCTGAGCCACAGTTTGAGTAAGTATTTGTCCACACGTACCTGATGGTCTTGGCCTCTCTGCAGTCGTACAGACAGAAGAAGATGTCTGTGTCCTCTCCGATGCTGTTGTAGGTGAAGCTCTTCAGGTTGACCAGCAGGTGGTGTGGGACTGGGATCCTGCACGGCTCTCCATGTCTCTGCCTCGAGTTATCGCTCTGGAAACAGACACACCAGGATAAGATATTTGTTTGTTTGTTTGTTACTGCTAATATCACTACTGCTTCCATTTAGTTCTGTTGTAGTCATCTCTTCACGGCTGGTTTTGTCGGTGTAGCATTGATACTGCAGCTTAATACTACTACTGTACATGACAATTATAAGAGGTACTATTATACTGGCATATCAGAGATTTATGAATGTAATTACTACTTCTTGATTCTAGTATGACAACTTCAACAGCTGCTATTACTAACACTTCAACTACCACCACTACTACTATTTCTACTACCAGTACTTCAACTATTGCTACTGCTACTACTATTTCTACTACCTTTATCACTGCTACTACTGGTACTTTCAACTACTACTACTACTACTACTATTTCTATGACTACTACTACGACTATTTCTACTACTTCTACTCCTATTACAACTACTGCTACTACTTCTTCTTCTACTTCTACTTCTACTTCTTCTACTACTATTACTACTACTTCTATTTCTACTACTACTACTACTTACTACTACTACTTCTACTACCACTACTACTATTCCTACTATTACTACTACTACTACTACTACTACTTCTACTTTACTACTCTACTACTTACTACTTCTACTTACTACTACTACTACTTCTACTACTTCTTACTTCTACTTACTACTTCTTACTACTTACTACTACTACTACTACTACTGCTACTACTACTACTACTACTACTACTACTAGTATTACTACTTCTTCTACCACTACCACCACTACTACCACTACAACTACTACACCTACTACTACTCCTGCTACTGCTACTGCTACTACTGCTACTGCTACTACTGCTACTACTGCTACTGCTACTACTACTACTACTGCTAATCTTTCTACTTCCTTTACTGCTACTACCACATCTACTAATGTTGTAAAGTACAGAAATATAAAATATATGAATAAACTATAATTAATTGCTTAGGCCAATTAAATTCAATCAATCAATTAACCTGCGCAGAGACGACAGGTGTAAATTAGCACTGGTGCTACAAACTGGTACAAGAATCTCTCCTGTTAAGGTTAATGGAGATTGTGCACTGTCCCTGTCTCATTAAATAAATAAAATAATAAAAATAATAATAATAAATGTTATCCAAACAGAAGCGATGGGAGTTTTGTGGAGTCAGTTACCTGTGTGGTGCTCTGCTGTACACTGTGCCGGCTCGACAGGTGCTGGGGACAAACAAACAAACAAACAAAAATCATTAATCAGAATTCTCTCCTCCTCCTCCTTCTTTCTTTCTTGACTTTATGACGTTACTGTCTCCCTTTGAAATGATCGAACGCCGTTTCCGCCACAGAGTTTTACATAAAAGCGACTAGAACGGCAAAATGTCCCCGCAAAACGGATGCTGACAGAGCTTCCTCCATCACAATGACTAAACACATCTGTAGTAAATAAATGATGAATGAAGTGTCAGATGTGCTGCGTTTGTACAAATCAAAATCAAAACAAGATGCTGATTTCAAACATGCTGCATTCTCACATTTGGCTGCTGTGGTGTTAATCAATCAGAACAATAACAAGTAATTTTTTTGGCTTGTTTCAAAATGCAACTCTCTACATTTGAATCATTTGTTTTATATATATATATTTGATAAGCCGTGTACTAGACAATGATTAATTTGATATATTCATACTTTTAGACAGTGGTGTAGTGGGGATTTTTTAAGTGGGGGTATGCGATTTGTGGCGTCATCACCCCACTCCCTCTCACTTTTCAGTAAAAATATAAGGCCATTTTTACTCAAACTGATGAGGAATCATGTTATTAACATTAACAACATTCATAATCACCTACAGAACATAAATCACAGGCTTCAACACATAAACCAGGACTAAACCAGGACTGAACCAGGAATAAACCAGGTCTAAATCTGGACTAAACTAGGAGGAGTAAACCAGGAATGAACCAGGACTAAACCAAGACTAAACTAGGACTAAACCAGGACTAAACCAGGACTAAAACAAGACAAAAACAAGATTAAAACAGGACTAAAACAGGACTGAATCAGGAGGAGTAAACCAGGACTGAACCAGGACTAAACAGGAATAAATAAGGCTAAACCAGGTCTAAACCAGATCTAAACCAGGACTGAATCAGGTCTGAATCAGGTCTAACCCAGGTCTAAAACAGGACTAAACCAGGACTGAACCAGGACTAAATCAGGACTGAACCAGGAATAAACCAGGAATAAACCAGGTCTACACCAGGACTACACCAGGACTAAAGCAGGACTAAACCAGGACTAATCTTGGACTTGAGAGCAATAGGGATATGGAGCTCTGCACTGGTCCTTTCTCCTGCAGTCACCTGACAGTTTATGCGGGCGCACCTCCGGACTCGTCCTGACACACAGTCCTGGTTCAGTTTTGGTTTAGTCCTGGTTTAGACCTGATTTAGTCCTGTTTTAGTCCTGTTTTAGTCTTGTTTAGTCTTGTTTTAGTCCTGGTCCCTCATGTGTCAGGTCACTATAGGACAGTACTGCAGATGTCATGAGGCTATGCAGGTTGTTTTCACCATTGCCAATACGTCCTGTTTGACATTTAACTTTTATTCTGACTCTTATTTCTGAAGGCGCTCCGTTTACCTCTGGAGGTCACGGAGTTGCTCAGAAGTGACACAGAGGAAGAAGAATTCAATGGATTTAGTGATTTGGAGTGTACACATTTTTTGGCTGATGTGACTTATACATGTTTTTTTCTTCTTCATTACACATTTTTTGGCTGGTGTGACTTATACTCTGAAGCTATAAAATACAGTACTCAAAAATAAACATTGCTGTTCTCAAGTTAATTCAGCTCATACTACTTTATTTTGGCTATCTATTATAATGTCTGCTATGCCTTTTATACAATTTAACATTAATAATACCTTTTAACTTTTATAAGATTACATAACACATAATTGCACGGAGTATTCATTATTTTATTTGACAAATTCAAATTAAGCTGTTAAGTTGCTCTTTCCAAACTTGTATTTTTATCCGACGATTTCCTTTCATGCCAACATCCTTCATCCTCCTTCTCCATAATGTGTCCGTCCTCATCGTTTCCCGGGCAACGGAACAAAGGGAATCACCACGGCGACGGCGTTCGAGAGGAACCCTTGTGCTGTTTAAATTATCGACTGATGTGTAAGATCTGAAAACAGAAACTATTTCTAATCTGTTTCAACTTTTGTTTCTCTTTTTCCCCCTCCGACAAAATGACCTTGTAGGACCGGCACAGACTCTCAAATGAAAAAAAAAAAAAAAAAAAAAATACCAGGGGCTGTAAAAGACAAAGTTGAACAAAATATGACTTACAAAAGAGTAATTGTTCAAGCTACTTTTAATAATTCAAGACAGTATAGGGCTATTTCAGATATAAACCCACCTAAAAATATAACTAGAACAACATCTTAGTATTTAGTTAGAAACGCAAATATTAATAATAATATATGGTTTATAAAGAAACATGTGAGATTTAAAGGGCCTATATTACGCTATTTTGTGCTATCTTGTGTTGTTTCCTCATTAAAAAACAGACCTGGAGTTGTGTTTTGTTTCATTCACACATGTTTAACACACAAATCCTGCACATTTACACTGAGTTCTTCTCTCAAACTGAAAACAGTGTGTTCCACCTTGTGATGTCATGTAGTAATACAGGAAGTGCTCCACTGTGTTTTTTATCTTCCATACACCTTCAGTAGAGACGGGCAATTTCATTTAACCTTAAAACTACTGCTTCATGACATCACAAGGTGGAACAGAGCATTTAGAGCGTTAGAGATGTAAACAGACTAATAATGCAGGATTATTCAAACATGTAGGAATGAAACAAAACACAACTCCAGGTCTGTTTTCGATTAGGTAACAACTTAGGCTACGTTTAAGCATGGCCGGGTATGTTGAGAAACGAGTATTTCCTTCCCTCTGTATTCGAAAATAACATCATGCACACAGCATCGTTTTCAATAAAGTTTTTTCATTTACATCAACCATCATAAATACTTCATCGAGCGCATCATAACTACGCCAAGCCTCCTGGATTAGATTCAAACCTGTAGCACTGATTTCATTGCAGTTTTAAGTATTACTCAAAAATACATTGAAAAATGTGCATTACTGAGCGGGTTCGCCTCTCCACAGATCTGTTCAAGAAGTGGCAAAATCACTGACCTCCGAGCCTCATTCGTCTCTGGTCATGGATATGATACATCAGCCGTGTGTGTAAATGCAAACACATGAAAAGTGTTTCACCAGAAGAAATGTGACTGCTGCTCTGAATGCTCCATGATCATCATCAGAGCAAAAGGGAAACACTGGTCACATTTTTGGCATGTCAGCTCCTAAAACTCCATTTATGTCACTTTAATGCCAAACCATAGTTTTCCAGAATCTCTACTCTAGCCGGAGTTTTTAGAAAGATTCGTTTTCAGAGGCGAATTCACAGTTTGCTTGTAAAAGATGGGTACAAACAAAGGGAAATGTCTCCGTTTTTAAAAACCCATGTATGTGTAAAAGGGGCTTCAAAAGCTTGGAGGGCACTGTCGCCTTTGGGTGCCCTAAAGCCTCATTACAAACACGCGCTCGTAAATAAAGTGTCCTCTGTACCCTGTGACTCTGGTTCAGTGCCTTTAAAGCAAAGAGTCAATTATGCCTAATATAGGACCTCTAAGTGTTGGGTTTCTAATTGTCATCAAAAATTGGGCACAGCCACGTTGGATTTTCTAACTCGTTCTCTGAAATGTTCTCAGATTTTTTTACAGAGAAATTCTGTGGGGCCATGCAGTTGTCATGTACAAGTCTGAAAACCAAAAAAAATAATACAATCCGACCTCCAAGGACAACTGTAATGCACCACAACTTGTCTATGGTAAAACACTTTTCTGAACTACTGAAACAACTTTGCTGCTGTTAAATGACTGCGGTCCCAAAAGAGTCAAGTGTCCACAGGTCTAATTGTTTTCAGTCGGCTGTCAGCTGCCTTGGACCTGGAGGCAATCCCACAGAGACAGTGAAAAAAAATCCCTCTACTCAATAATACATTCAGGGTTTTATAGATCCGGGGCTGTTCTGTACCAGGAAAATATAATTGTTTTTTTGGAATGTATTTTATTCCTGTTATAATAGTCAGAAATTAATCCAGTTAACCTTTGGATCAGACGGTTGAGCGGTCTAATCCACTGACCCACAGATTGGAGGTGTGATCCCACAGATGAATGCTGCCGTTGTGTCCTTGTGCAAGACATTTCTTCCACCCTGTTGCTGCTGTGTGAATGAGTGTGAATGTGTGAGTGGTTTAAAGTGCTTTGAGTGTCTCGAAGGTGGAAAAACGATATATATAAATGTTGCCTTTTACCAAAAAATGACTGTACTTTGAGATAATACTTTACCATTTTATAGAGGTCCGAGACACTTATGTGGTCCTCATCCACCATCTCGAACTCCTTCCTCGGCACCAGGTCCAAACCCAGGTGTCTGAAAGAAAACAAGACCAGATCATTCTATAACACAAAACAACTCCAATCAGAACACTCCAAAAAAAAACAACTAAAATCTAGCCAAGTAAAGATGACTTGAACGATTCGAGTAAAATTATCTGCCACTGGAACAAGACTTTCTGTACTTAAAATATGAAAATACATCTTACTATACTTAAAATAAGAAAAACAACAACTTTTAGCACTTAAAATAAGAAACATAATCTAATGTTGCTTGAATTAAGAAAATCACACTTGTTCCACTGGTACATCATGTTACTTGTCAAGTTGAATCGACTCAAATAAAAGTAAAGTAAAGTAAAATGTTCTTAATTTAAGTCATTTTAATTTAGCTAGATATTGTTTTTTGCAGTGAAAATACATAGGAACTAGGTTTAAATTCTCACATCTTTGATTTCGGCTTTAAAAAATCTTTTAAAACAATTGCTAATTTTATTTTATTTTTATTTCATAATGGTTTTATTTATTGATTGATTTATTTATTTGTGTGTGTGGGGGGTTTGTTTGTTTTTTTTTGTTGTTTTTGCTGACGTAAACATAACCAAACTGTCTCAATGAATGCGTTGTTACTTTGTCTGAAATGTTCCACAGTATGGCATTTATTTCATGATAGGTGTTTTTATTGAAAACACACATTCTCACTGTGAGTGGTCGCCTCTCCACAGATCTGACTTTTAACTTGGCCTGCTGGCGTGACCTTCTTGTCTCCGTGGATAGAAGTTTAATGTCACACTGTGGAATATTCTCAGCATTTCCAGCAAACAAGTAGCAGACCAACCACATCAGAATGTTACGCAGTGAACCTTTGACTCTTGCTATAATGTCTAATGTCTAAACAGCACATCTTTTCATTTTTTTACCTTAAGATTACTGATATCTTGGTGGTATTTATCCATTGGTTCACACGTTTGTCGTTCTCTACCATTGTCAGTTCTATCTCTGCTTATCCTCAAGCCTAGTTGGAGCTTTGCACATCCCATAATACCCCCACCCCCCCAGTTGTTAATGTGTGCACTTTCACTTTTACTACGCTATAAAAAAAAGAGTATTTGGATTTACCGAGCGCTCATGGATATTTCATGAGTTTTATATGTCAGAGGCTGAATTCATTATCTGTAATTGGAGAGTCACTAATGATGTAATTATGAGCAAGCCGTTAACACAAGACCTGGTTAACGGACTTGTTAAAGAAAGTGGAAGTCTGCAGCTGCTGAGATGAGCTTAGCTGCTTATATTCTGTTTATACGTTAACAGAATGTAAACACGTGATAACCCATGAACCTTGTGAGCTTTAAGCCATGTTATAATGTTGTTATGTCCCCCAAAACACAGAGAGGCGCTTTCTAAAATCACAAAGTAGAACAGGGTGTTTTCTGTTTGTAAGAAGAACACAGCCTGAATATGCAGGATTTGTGTGTCAAACGTGTGTGAATGAAACAAAACACAACTCTGGGTATGTTTTTGATGTGGAAACAACATTGTAATATCAGAAAATACGGTAATATGGACCCTTTAAAGCAGGGGTCAGCAAACTTTTTTCTCTGGGGGCCACATTATCGCTCTTGACTGACATGGGGGGCCGGGGTCAGATAGGCCGTGTATATCAAAATTTTATGACCTGACGATGCAAATTATATTCTTTGAAAACCACACTTTCTTTACATATCAGACAAACTGCCATGGTCCTTACACTAAAGAAGAAAATAATCCACTGTTCTTTGAAAACTCGGCACTCTCTGTCAACTTTTCGTACTTTAACACCATCCATTTTGCTGTCCTTAACTGCATTACAGAACTGCTTGATCTCGAGTTTGTCAGGTGACGAAAATTCAGCGACAAATGTAAATCATGTCATAATTATTTAAATATAAATATAAATACTTCATATAAATATATTTTTATTGAAAAAATCAACAAATACAAGACGCAGATGTGTTATTATTTGCCAAAAAGTTTAAAAAAATAGGCCATGACAACTTTCAATTGCTCATAAAGCAAGTGGTGAGAGCAGAGGGCTGGGGGGGCGGAGTTGCCTTAGTTTGATGACTCCTTTTTAAAGTATTAAATATAGAATACTGATATAAGTTATATTGAGGATGCACTAAGCTCAGACTGTGCTGTTTTGGGTCATCCTTTCACCCCCCGCCTCCATTTCGGCCATCCTTCTGTGGTGAGAGCAGAGGGGGGTGGGAAAAAGTTGGCCTTAGTTTGATGCACCTGAGGGCTCCATGAAAACAAAAGTAAAAGTTTGGACACATCTCCTTATGCACTGTTTAGCTTTTAGTTTACTACCTGCTTATGTTTTGGTACATCCTGTTCACCCCCTGTCCGCCCTGTCCCCTCGGCAAAAACATCCTTTCACTCCAGAGACAAGGTGAAAAGGCATAGGAGGTCCCTTATATTCAAATCCTCCAGCCTTTGATTTGTCGACACAGCTGCAAAACCCTTGGCCTTCTCTCACTTATCTTCCTGATGAAGTCTCCTGAAATGGTTTTCACATCAAAGTTCTGAGTCAAGAAATGCCAAAAGTCCAAAGCAGTGATCAAAGCAAAGAGTGATTTAAACCTAAGTCTGTTTTTGTTACTACATTCCTTTAAGTATCCATTCGTAGTTTCGATGCCTTCAGTGAGAATCTACAATGGAAATAAAGACGAAAATGTAAAAGTGTGTCCAAACTTTTGACTGGGAGTGTTTGTGTAAAATTTTTAGACGCTCAGGGCTGGGCATCATTAAGAAGTTGCCAATACGATACATACCTCGATACAGTGAATTTTTGATTCATTGTGATATATTTCAAATTGATTCGATACAGTTTAATAAAAAATGAAATCTAAATCATGGCTGTGATACTAAAAGTCTTTGTTAAACTTGTGTAAAGTTAATATGAAACACAAACATTTTAATCATCAAAACTGTGAAAATGTCAAATGTGTCGCATAAAAAAGTTTCCTTCCACTAAACAAGCAACAAAAATAACTCCTAACAAGAGATCGAAAGTGCTCCAGTAACAACACGTGAACAAATGAAAGCAAGCTCTAACAACTGAACAAATGAAGCATAGGTTCTAAAATTTTGAGAGTATATTTCTCTGTGGTAGCGCCCCCGGCTGTATTAAGCAGAAGTGCAGCCATATGTACAGCTCTGTATGCCTTGTTTTTGTAGGAAGCAGAATTCTGTACTAGACACTTGCGACTACATGTTGGGATGATTTTTGGTTTGTGCATCACTCCTTTCCACAGCCCAGAGTGTTTTTACATTCGCTTCTGCACTGTTTATGTAATACAATTGTTTAACGCTTCAGAAATTTGCATCATTTGGCGTTTTGTTATGCAATAATTCAAAACTGAGGCACTGCAAGAGCTTTCACTTACAGTCTGCCATTTCTAACAAAATCCATTTCTAGAATTTCAACCAAACATTATGCTCCCTGCCCCTGGAAAATATGTTTGAAATATTTGGGTAAAATATGTAATTGCAATTGTTCTGGCAAGTTTTACGATTAGATTAGAATTTATGTTTGAATAATACAAATTTGTTGAATTTTACATTTTAAACACATCCAAAACTGACAAAAAAGACTGATATCTGAATTATTATTAAACAAGAATCACATTTCAGAGCATGTTTGGAGAGACTTAACTGATTTTATGCAGAATTAGACACAATATTTTGTTGTTTGAGGAAGAATTTATAGTAATTAAAAAAAAAAAAAAATCAGCCTTTGCAATTTGCCAAAACTGAAAAGTTAGCCTAATAGAGTAAAGTCTATAGTCTATAACAGGGGTCATCAAATAAAAGTGGTCATGACCTATATTTTTTTTAAATAACTTTCTTGCAAATAATGACACATCTGCATCTTGTATTTAGTTGATTTTTTCAATTAAATATTATATTTATATTAAGTTTTTATATTTATATTTAAATAATTATATGACGTATTTACATTTGCCGCAGAATTTGCCACTGAATTTTCGTCGCCTGACAAACTCGAGATCAAACAGTGACAGTCAATGTGCGTGCAGATTTCTGTAGTGCAGTTAAGGACAGGAAAATGGCTCATGTGAAAGTACAACAACTTGTCAGAGAGTGCAGAGTTTTCAAAGCACAGTGTATGACTGATTATTTTTTGTTCAGTGTAAGGACCATGCAGTTTGTCTGATATGTAAAGAAAGTGTGGTGGTTTTCAAAGAATATAATCTGCGTGGTCTGGGTCATACAATTCAGTTATACGGCCCCCATCACAGTCAGGAGCGATAATGTGGCCCCCAAAAGGACCTTTAAAGGACCTATATTATGCTATTTTCAGTGGGGAACCGTGGACCTAGACCCTGGGCATTCACTCGGACTAGTTATTATTGTGAGATCATTTATTTAAAAAAAAAAAAAAAACTAAATGAAGAGAATCACACATTCACTTACTTCATATATTTGTATAATAATCATTAGCTTCTGTTCAACAACTACAGATGGATGGATTCTGATTCTTTCTCTTTCTTCTCCTTCTTTCAGACGCCCCGAGGCCTCCAAATAGTAGCGTCCAGCGCATTTTTTGACGCTGAAGCCTCGCTTATATATACTAACACAGGGAATTCGCAAAGGCAAGGAAGATGTCGCGATATGTTCCCGCCCATAACTCAATGAAATATGATTGGCGAAGACAGGGGTGGGCAAACTTTTTGACTCGTGGGCCACAAAGGGCTCTAAAATTTGACGAAAGGAGCAAATGGATGGAGTTTTTTGGTAATCCACCTCACGAGAGAAAAAAAACATCCCATGCTATTGAAATATCCCATAATTGAAAATCATTACAAAGCATTACAACAAAATATCTGTCTTTCAAGTCGCACAGTATTTACTATTTACTGAAATGACTTTTAAAACACTGAAAATTATTATTATCATCATTCAAGTTCAGGGGGCTGGATTAAAAAGGGCCGCATATGAACCCCGGGCCTTAGTTTGCCCACCCCTGAGCTAAGACAACTGTCAAACTAAAACTCATCCCCACATTGACTTGAGTTGCACGAGGCTTTGTTACAGCCGCCAAAGATCCTGCAGGTGTACAAAAATTCTTTCAATATTTTTTCATGGGTCTTCAGTGAATCCCTTGAAGGTTCCCCTCTGGCTATTTTCTGATCTAAGTTAGAATGCTGTATCCTCATCAGAAACATACCTGCAGTTGTGTTTTGTTTAATTCACATATCTTTAACTCACATATCCTGCAGTGCTTCTCTCAAACTAAAAACACTCTCTTCCAGCTTGTCATGTCATGTGGTAATCAGTGTTGGGGAGTAACAGATTACATGTACCGGAGTTAATCAGAGTACAAATTATGAGTAACTGTATTCAGTTACAGTTACTGTTTCAGTGAGTGGTAATTGGATTACAGTTACTTGGTTGAAATAAATGGATTACATGGCGGTATTTTCATGTTTTTACATTTTGGGTCCTTTTTTTTTTTTTTCCCCTAGGTAATTCCACTCATTGCCGGACACTAAACCAGGTCTAAACCAGGTCTAAATCAGGTCTAAATCAGGTCTAAACCAGGACTAAACCAGGACTAAACCAGGACTAAACCAGGTCTAAACCAGGTTAAACCAGGTCTAAACCAGGTTAAACAGGACTAAACCAGGACTAAACTCTAAACCAGGTCTAAAACAGGTCTAAACCAGGACTAAACTAACCAGGACTAAACAGGACTAAACTGGACTAAACCTGGACTAACTGGTCTAAACCAGGACTAAACTAAACAGGACTAAACTAAAACCAGGACTAAACCAGGACTAAACCTGGACTAAAAACTAAACCAGGTCTAAACCAGGTCTAAACCAGGTCTAAACCAGGACTAAACTAAACCAGGACTAAACCAGGACTAAACCAGGACTAAACCAGGACTAAACAGGACTAAACCTGGACTAAACCTGGTCTAAACCAGGACTAAACTGGAAAACCTGGTCTAAACCAGGACTAAACCAGGTCTAAACCAGGTCTAAACCAGGTCTAAACCAGGACTAAACCAAGACTAAACCATGTCTAAACCAGGTCTAAAACAGGATTTAACAGGACTAAACCAGTTGGAGTAGACCGTGTCTCCTCCTCTTCTATCAATAATATTTTTAATACGGTTAAGTAAAGTCTGAGCTTTTTATTTTCTTTTACCAGACAAAACATCTTATGTGAAGATTTCCTCGTCTTTGCTTCTCTACAGCAAAATCAAGTAATCCAAAGTATTCAGATTACGTTACTCACTCTAAGTAATTTAATGGATTATGTTACAAACTACATTTTGGGGTATGTAATCTGTAATCTGTAATCTGCAGGCAAATACATTTTAAAAATAAACTTCCCAACACTGGTGGTAATACAAGAAATGTTTTGTTTTTTCCTGTGACTAGTGACATGATCCCATATAATGTATTTACCGTAGTGACATCTGTGTTCATAGTTTTATCCTCATGCCCTCACAAAGACAATCTTGCTGCTCAAAACCGCACTGGCATCCCTCCCCATTTAATAACGGATTTTTTTATATTTTCACTCAGTGTGCCTCGGGTTTGTACCTTTCCCGTTTTACATTATCAAGCGAGGGCTACATTCTGCTTTGAGATTTGAACTCAACTCTTGCAAAACACCTGTACTGTGATTTTAAAGATATTTTTTTACGACCCAGTGAAGCGCCTTCCCTCTCCACTTAATCTCACAACTCCGGGAATGTTTTTAAGGAGGTAGAAACATCTCAACACGACTTTAAAGCTCACAAGAGTCAATTTTGCGTGATATAGGACTTCTAAAAAAACAAGTACGCAGAAAACTGATTTCCCGAGCGGTCGACAAAGCCCAAAGTCCATACAGCTTAACTTTAAACATACACCGCCATATTAATCTCTCCTCTCTCACAAGATCTGACCTAATCTCCCCTCTCCGCCCCCTGCCCGCAGACCTCACACAGCCCCATTACAATAACTCTAGCAGCTCAGAAGCCTATCCTGCTCTGAACCCTCTATCCTCGGCTTCAATCATTTTTGTGTGTGCCCAGAGTAAGATGGAGGTCTGAGGGGAGCCCGCCGCACTGTACAATATCACAGTCATTTAGAAAGCAGGTCGCCTTAAACCAGCAAATAAACAAACCGGGGAAGGAGAGGTGGAGAAATGGATAGAAAGAGGAGGAGAATGGACTGTTCATTGTGCACTGCGGATAGGAAGAAGCATTTTTCACACAGATTAGTTTTAAAGTATTTTCGCGTCAGGTCAGTTTGTCTCGACAACTGGTGCAAATCATAGACTGTATATAAACGGGCTGGATAACCTGGATAGTCGCCACATTCCAAATAGGAAGTGAGCATGGGGGCGTTTCCTGCTCCATCGAGTCTGGCTTTGATTCACTTTGTATTGAAAAAACGTCGCCCCTCTCGCCGTAACTGCTGCTGTCAAACTCCTCATTTTGGTCTTAAAATGTTTGTATTAAAGAGGCAGTTCGGAATTTTGGATATAGGGCCTCATTTCCTAGTGAGCCAGAGTGTTGGAGATGTGTGAGACTTTTTAAAATATTCCATCCAGTCCTTGTATTTGCAGAGGTCGCTGGTGCTAGGCTAGTGCATGTCAATGGCCATAGTTAGCCTGTCACTAAAAACAGTCTTACCCACTCCACAAAACACCCGAAGCAAATCTATTATTACACCAGACTGTTGATGTGAATGTTTGTGTTGACAGAATAATGTTTGAAATAAAACTAACCTTGCATCTCTTGAATCGTTGCATGTTGAGGGACTATTTTCTCATATATCTGTCCGCTGCTACTAAGTTTTCTATCAGGAAGTACAACTCGCTGCTGCTGCTCAACATAATACATAAATCCCTCAAACTCAAGGTTGGTGTGTCAAAGTTAATTTTGGGATATTTTTTATATATATAAGTATATTTATTTTATTTTTTAAATATAGAGATTGTAGAACAGCTGGATATACATATATATTTTTCTATGCCTTATTTCATGTTCAAAGTACATTTTATTCATTTTATGTTAAGGTACATATTTGTAGCCTGGACTTATTTTCAATTTGAAAGTTTTGCATAAATTATCAATATCAACGTGTTTTTTTGGAGAGAGAAATGATGAATAAATGCATCGTGTAACTAAAAAAATAATTGTTTGAATAATCATGATTTCAATATTGACCAAAATAATCATGATAATGATTTTCCATAATTGAGCAGCTTTACTGTTGGATTTTTAAAGCTCACAAGTCAATTTTGTGTAATATAGGACATTTAAGTCATATTAGACTGTTGTTACCTCCTCACAAACATACCTGGTGTTGTGTTTTGTTTCATTCACACGTTTGAGTAATCCTTTATTATTAGACTGTCATCTCCAAAGCTCAAAATGCTCTGTTCCACCTTATGATGTAGAGGTTATTTTTTTATTTTTAGTTTGGTAGAGCCTGGCAATTCCAGGGCTAAAATTATCCAAACAATTCTAGTGAAGTTGTATGGAGTTTAAAAACACAGTGGAGCACTTCTTGTGTTACCAAATGACATCACAAGGTGGAACAGAGTGGTTTCTGTTTGAGAGAACTCAGCCTAAATATGCAGGGTTTGTGTGTTAAAAGTGTCCACTAGAGGGCAGTAATCGAACAGAAAGAACATAACAGAAAGCTAATTCTTGAGTAATGTATTTAGTAATTTAATATAACCCAGAAAGCATTTTCCCATAGAGTGCACTGTAATCACAAACTGCTCATGTTCAGCTGACAGGGACCTCCAGCTTTCAAAAGAGTCAGATTTTGTAGTGATTTTTTTTTCCTATTTTCAGATCATAAACGTTTTCTAGGCTCTTTTTTATTAGTTAATTTTTATTTTTTTTGGTTTTGGCTACTCTCCACCTCTGATTGTCATTCATGTACTCACTCGTTGCCCCAGTCCAGCCTGACGGTGATGTGTCTCTTGACCTCTCGGCTCTGGTCTTGTGTCAGATGCCCCGACAGCAGCTGCCTCCTCAGATCCAGCAGCTCCAGCATCACATGGCGCACTTTGTAAAACAGGTCCACCTTGTGTTTCTGGGAAGAGAACACAGAAAAAAAAAATGTATGTTAATAAAATAACGCAAACATGTATCAATCAAAATACAACACTGAGTAAACTATGAGGGAAAACACAGTGCTGTAAAACTAGAATCTTAGCAGCAGAGGTGGGACCAAGTCGTTGTTTTGCAAGTCTCAATTAAGTCTCAAGTCTTTGACCTAAAGTCTGAGTCAAATCCCAAGTCAAATACAGGCAAATCCAAGTGCAGTTTCGAGTCACTGGCCCATAAGTCCAAGTCAAGTCCAAGTCGTCTGTTTTGAGCTTCAAGTCATTTCAAGTCTTTAAACCAAAGTACCAAATATAGATTAGATTTTTGCAATTTATATCATTTTTAAACTAAATTGTAGTTAAAAAGTATGAGTATTTATATAAGTTGTAGAAATTCCTTTTTTATTAATATTTAAAAGTGCTTAATAACATTAACTTAATAGTTCCCTCTGTGTTACTATATTGTACTGTATTATACTGTATACTGTTGTACATTTGATGATACCACATCACAGTACTTCAGTAACATCCAAAGGAAAAAACAGAAGTGTGAGCGACATGTTCCAGTTTGTTCTAGTAAAATTCAGCACCGCATTTATCAACTGTAAAGAGAAAAGTATTTTCTAAAAACATATATTTTTTTAGGAGAAGCATCAACTCTTCTCTAGTCCAAGTCAAGTCCTGAGTATTGATCTTCAAGTTCAGGTCAAGTCCCAAGTCGAGTCCATTTTACCAAGTCAAGTCTCAAATCCTAAAAATAGTGGCTCAAGTTTGACTTGAGTCCAAGTCACGACTTTCAAGTCCCCACCTCTGCTTCGTAGTACTTAGTAATAGAACTTAAAGGAATTTTTTCCATGTATTTGAACAAACTTAGTCTTGAATACAAATAGAGCAGCTCAAGGTAATTCTAACAACAATTAGCATGCTGACAGTGCACTTCCAGATAAGTGGACAATAACACACTTTGAAATTAGATGTGTACTGTCTACATTTAACTACAAAGTGTTTTATTGTCTGATTACCAGGAAGTGCACTGTTAGCATGCTAGATGTTGTTAACATTACCATCAAGACAAAACTCCGCTCTGGTCTCAGAAAATTGTGAAAATCATTTATCAACTCGTTCACGGTGAATCATTAGGATGCTCCAAAAGCCCATGTTGAGTGAGGAAAAACACTGGAACACTGCAACACTTTTAAAATGCACTAGTTTTGTTTTTTTCACATTTTAAAACAGGAAAAATCTGCACCATTGATAAAATACAACATACATAAGGATTTAGTATTTATGTTCTGTATAATGCCATATTTCATCAGGAGGAAGGTGAAAACAGAAACTCAGAAACCCAGAGCACTCAAAGCTTGAATGCAGGTCAATAAAGGATTACTTAAACATGCATGAACTGATTGAAATACGACTATGACTGCGTTAATGATGAGGGAACACCATTATAAAGCACGGATAAAAGCTGAAAAGTCAATTTTCCATTAGATCTCTGTAGCACCCAATCCCCTTTGATTTACTATAATATTGATTTATATGATATATCTCCTTTGAATTCTATTTTTATGTTGTATTAAATGATAAACTTTGCTGTATTTATGCAGTTTTGCACCACAACCCAGAAAAACACAGAGTGAACATATGTTTGCCTATAGCCCCTTCTATTCTTAGCTCTATCTCCCTGCAGTATAGTCAACAGCAAACAGCATATGGTTCATTTTTCACTTCAAAAACAAAATATTTTTATTCAAAATTGCCCAGCTTGATGCAAAATGTTGTAAGAATTTAGTTTTATTTATTTATGTATTTATTTTTTGCACCTTTAACATTATATTGTTTAAATAAAGAGTGATTTTTTTTTTTTTTTTTTTTTTTATTATCATCGTGGTATTAGAATCAGTATTTGAGTATGGAGTTTATAACTTGGTATCGAAAGTTTGAAATTTTTGTAGCCATTTCTTCTGTGAAAATACATTTTATCAGAGCTATCGATCTGGTACAAGCCTAAAGAAGTTTCGCTGTCTATTTGGAGAACATGATTGTTTTCTTGTTTGTGTTTTTACCTGTGGGGTACACCTACCAGAGCCGACAAATGTTGTGCAGGTACAGGTCGATAAAAACAGTGGGGAGAGGCTTTGAGTGTAAACAAAAACTTTAGCTGTACACCCACACATGTATCAAGCACAGATCACACCACACCTGGAGCACAGTGGAGAGTCACAAAAACAAGTGAAAAGTGGCCAACCAAATAAGTAAGTATTTGAGGTAAATTTAAAATATGCTAAAATTTCACAATATTTCAACAATACTATGTTTTATGTAATACTATAATTTCATATTATGTGTGAAAACTACTCGACTCTAGAAGTAAAAGTACAATTGCGTACAACCTGAGAATGCAATTTCTGACTTTATATCACTGTGGGATAAAATGATTCATACAAAGACACTCAGTCTGGGCCCCTGGCTTGTCTCCCAGACTTCAGATGGATGTGACTGACAGACAGATTCATGAATCAGAGAAAGGCATCTGGTTTGTTTGTGTCTAAACAATAATGATGTGTATGAGTAAAGCATAAAAAGAAAAGACACATGACTGAAAAACAACACGCAGACTTCTTCGTCAGCGAGAGAAGCTCACAGATTCAGTAAAAGAAATTAAAAAGTCTATAGTCTGGGACACAGGAGGGGTGATGATCTGAAAATCTGAGATGTTCAGTCTGGATTTATCAGGTTAAAATGTTATAATTACAGTTCAAGATTTTTAAAGAGGGGGTATTATGGTATTATTTTACCATGTTATAAAGATGTCCCCTCATCAAAAACACATGAAGAGGTTTTAGGTGTCATCTGTGCATGTTCGTATTTTCAATGCTCTGCCCACAAGCCTACGTCACCCATGCTCCCACACAACACTTCTCCATAAATATACAAAAACATGATACAAAACTGTACACTTGACAAGTATACAGAACTGTACACTGTATACAAAACTATATAAAACAAAACAAAACTGTATATGTATATGAAAACTACTGCACATCACATCAGATTTGTTTTGTAAACTTGACAAACCTGATGTGATGTGCAGTAGTTTCATTTGCGTGATGCATGCTGATTGTGTTTGTGATAGCGCTCTGAAGGGGGAGTGACTTAACAAGGAGAGAGGAAAGGGAAGAGGGACTCAAAAGCTCCAAAAATGAAAGTAAAACTAATAAAACATGATAATCCATTGTTTTCTGTGAATGTAGCATTTTCAAAACAATAAATGGTAACATGTTGATCTAAATCTGTTATGTTTTAGCAGTTAATACCCCGCAGACACTAAAACTTTAGAATGAACGACAGCCACGATGATGCACGAAGGGATTTTATCACTTCTGAAAACTTGGATGACTAAGAATCAGGAGCGTGACGGCGCATTCCCTCACAGCCTGCGTCACAGTCCCGGTCTGGTTTGTATCCTATAGATGCAGATGGAGACAGGTGCACCATTTGTTCTGTTTCCCTGAGTGTGCAGTGATTAGCATAGCACTCAGTCTGAGAAGAGCTCAAGGTTATAAACAACTTTAGCAAAACAAGTGGATCTCATTTTAAAGGGCTTTGGAGCGGTCGCCTAGCAACTACCGCATCAGCATCAGGACCAGGATCCCCTCAGCATCTGCGCACATGTGGGACCGGTGGAGGTAGCTGATAAATGTCTAAGTTATATTAGAGAACTTGAGCAGGGGAAAGTTGCGTTTAAAGTTAATTTAAGCAGGAGTTTCTTATTTTCTATTAGACTCTCAAGGCTGAAATGCGTTTCTTGTAAGTACGTTTTTTTAATTAGCTATTAGGAACTGTATGAAACTTGCGGTTTTACTGTATTAAAGGTGTTACAATCACAACTGGACCAGGTTTGTCAGTGCCTTAACCTGCAGATAGAGAACACTAATGTTGTAGTCAAGACCGCACTAATCAAGACCAAGACCAGTCTGAGACAACAGGGTCCTGAGACTGAGACAAGACTTAGACTGAGACAAGACTAAGATTTTTAGAGGTCGAGACCGAGACAAGACCGAGATCACGGCCCATCAAGACCAAATCGAGACCATCTTTGTAATTTTCAATATTTATTTGTATTTTACAGTTATTTTGACACAAATATATATCAATGTTTTTATAAATATATCTCCATTTTATCACTCCGAGACAAGACCAAGTCCAAGCGCCTTCAAGACCGAGAAAAGACTGAGTCAAAGTGCCTTCTAGACAGAGACGAGACCAAGTTCAAGCGCCTTCAAGACTGAGACAAGACCGAGTCAACGCACCTTTAAGACTGAGACAAGACCAAGTCAAAGCACCTTCAAGCCCGAGACAAGACCGAATGAAAGCACCTTCAAGATGGAGACAAGACCAAGTTCAAACATGGTCGAGTCCAAGACAAGACCAAGACGGCAAATAAACTGTATCGAGGTCGGTCTCGAGACCATGACCAGTCTGAAGTACTACAACACTAGAGTACACATACAAGTTTTTCATTGTCAGTATATGGACAAGGCACGTCTCATATGAAAGCTCAGAACTTTCAGAATTTCCTTGTTGAGCTGCAAAGGCTGAACTAGCACTGACTCATGATTGGCTACAGGTTCCAGAGTTCAGGTAGAGACCGCTCAGATCAGAGAGAGACATTTTAGGTTTAAACCAGCTGGATTTCAGCATTGAAACTGGCAATTTAATTTACTTTTAGAATTGATTTTAAGATTTTATTGTTTGTTTTTAAAGCTTTGAATAGACTGGTCCCACATTATGTCTCGGACCTCCTCAAAATTTACATCCCCGCGTGCGCTTTGAGGTCCGAGGGCCAGCTCCAGCTCTTGGTGCCCAAGACCAGACTTAAAACCAGGAGGGACATGGTCTTCTCTGTGGCCTAAGATCTGGAACATTTTTGGTTTTATGTCTCATCTTAAAACCCTCTTAAAACCCACTTTTATTCTTTGGCTTT